TTCAAAAGATGTTTTCCATTTGGAGGAGATAAAAGAACCCTGATGGCAAATGCACTGAGTGAGGGGCTTGGTTGGAAATGAAGCTACTACCCAAGCAGCCTCAGAATACAGACAGCATCCTGAAAAGGGAGCCTAGAACAGTCCTGAGGCTGCAGCATGCTGGGGGTCGTATGTTTGTGCCACACGGAAGGTCTGGTAATTGCTAAAGGTGTAGCCAGGACCTCACAGTTTGTAATACATGCTCCTTTACACATGGTCCTCACTGTTCACTTAAACCTTACAAACTCAGGGCCCCAGTGGGTGGGGATCCTTTGGTTAAAAGCAGTGATTCAGCTTGCTAGGTGAGACCACCTTTTATCCCACTATAAAATCACACACCTGTATAGAAATCTTTCCAAGATCAATATTTTGGAATCTGCTAGGATGTCCCTATCCATCCACCCTTCCACCCATCCACCCATCCACCCCCCTTCCACCCATCCACCCACCCACCCATCCATCCACCTATGCCACAAATACTTATGAGCACTGGCTTTGTGCCAAGTGCCACTCTAACTGCTGGGGGCAGTGTATGTTTGTCGGTGACCCACATGGACATGGGGTCTGCCCTTGTCAGGCCTGTATCCATAGGGATGCCACAAGTGTGTTGAGCATCATGGTGGAGAATTTCAAGGTTTCTGGGCCCTCTGGAAGGACAGAAAGAAACTCTCTGGAGTACCAGGGTGGGGACTAGGGGTTACTAGGAGTGATGTGCTAGCTGAGTCCCGAAGGAGGGGGAGCTAACCTGAGAAAAGAGTTCTAGGTAGAGGGAACACCATTACTGAAGCATGGAACAGAAGAAGGGGGAGAGAGAGGAGTCCTAGAAATGAACTGGTTACAGTGGTAAGGGAAAGCAAATGCTTACTTTCAGGGGTCCTGTAAAAGCCTTTGCCCCTGGCTTCCCCTGCAGAGGGTTGGTTTATAGAAATGCACCTTCATTGTGGTTTCCTTTTTTAAGGTCTCACTTCCCTATTCTCCCCAGATACCCAAAAGAATTTGGGCTCGGAGTCACACAGACCTTGGCACAGTCCTGGGCATTATCTTGGGGAAGTCACTTCAGTCTCTGGACCTGAGTTTGTAAAGTGGGACTAACAGTAATTCCTACGTCATGGGGGTGTTGCAAGGACACAATTATGCTGTAGCACAATTCCTGACACATTTTAAGATATTAACAGATAAAAACTGTAGCTCTGCCTGGTTGGAGGGGATGCAGTAAGTGTTGATGGGAGATTATAGGCCCATGTATGCTATTACATTCTTCTATGCACCTATGTGCCTTCCTAAAATTATTATGGTAAAATTTATTTTTAAAAACTGCTCGTATTACATACTGCCACTGCTGCTACAATCCACTCTCATTTGAGTGTCTGCTCTCCTTCACTGAAGGGGATTAGAATGTGGCAAGGACAGGAAACCAAAATATTCCTTGGAAATTCTTCACTTCATTCTGCCTGATATCCAGCATGGCCCCAGGAGTGACCCTGACTGGCCTGGCCCATCCTGACTCTGTGAGCTGCTCCAATGACAACAGCAGTCTCCAAAGATCAGATATAAGAAGAAAATATTGGAATTTTAACTTTATTTATTTTTAATCTAAAAAAAAGCAGGAGAAAAAAAATCAAGCATTACTAATACTTACAAAATAGCTAGAAACTACGCATTTCAGAATTAAAAGTGCACAGGCTTACCTGTGACTCATAAAAGAACAGATTTCCATGCCTAAGATTCTGGGAAAATGGCAAATTGAAGGAAAACACATGAATTAACCTTCTTTTCTTTTGATTTCAAGGAGGGGAGACCTATTTCCAGACTTGGTCAGCTAGCTTGAATGTAGATACTAACTTGACTATGCAGATCCTTGGATGAATATAAATATAAAAAGATGGAAAAAATTTTAAAGTATAGATTGATGATGGTACAGATAAATTATTCATAAGTCAAATATATATTGGGTATGAGTGCTCACAGAATGTTTAACTAACAGGGCCACATGATCAGGGGAGTTTAGAGCAGTCAGCCTGTGCAGGGTGGTCTGATGTGGTGTTATGATGGCCTCATGCACAGGGCACCAGGATTTTTGTCTTGGGTGCCCAGGAGAGCTCCGCTCACATAGGAGAGAAACAGAACAGAAGGCATAACCTCTGCTTGAATTTCCAGGGCCAGGTGTGTATCTCATGCACTCAGGCAGCGTTGAAAATAACTAGTCACACAGATATTGACACTGGAATTAGGAAAGCCCCCCCCAGTCAGAAGTGCCAATGCCCACTCCCGCTAAGCTCTCCCCACCTGCAGCATATCCCTCCCCAACACTACCAAGGGACAAAAGGAGAGTGGTTATGGGAAGTTGCTGGGGGAGACAGACAAGTGCAAATTGAGCATGTGGAGTTCATGACTTAGGATCCCACAGGGCCATCAACACTGACCCCACAGCCACAGTGCGCAGCCAAGTCCTTTCGAGAAGTAGCCTGTGTCTGAGGTGCTAGGGGCAGGGTGCCCCATCCGTGTAGTCAGGCAGGAGAGTAACTCGGAGTCTGAGTTCAAACCCAGCTCAGCTCCTCATGCACTCTGTGAACTTGAGCAAGTCATGAATATCTCTGAGTCCCAACTTCCCCAGCTCCCACATGTTCAAAATAACGCCTTTCCTACTGCTGGATGATTCCAGTATGATAATACAAATCTAGGAATACAATTGGAAAAGGTACTCAAAAGCAACTAGGACACAAAAGTAATACTTTACAATTATGACCAATAATAATTCCCCACACAGCTAGCAACAAGGATAAGAATCTGGAGCAAAGGATTTTTTGCTTTTCATATATACCCCATGCCTGGTGGCTCCACAGCAGCAGCAAAGGTGCAAGGCCTGGTCTCCCGGTGCTGTCCTACCTGTTCTGGGGAGTCAGCCAGAGACATAATGAGGTCATGGACCTCTGGGCCGCAAGGGGCCTGCCCAGGACCTGGAGAGAGTGTAGACGCAGACTGCTTCTGAGCTGGTCCGCTCCTGCCAGCCCTGTCTCTGCTTGCTGCCTCATCAATCCATCATCCTCTTAGCCGCTGACACCTCTGGCAGCACCTCCCAGCAGCCCGGGCATTAGAATTGCAAGAAGCCCAGCTGCACCAGGGAATACAGATGGAGGAATCTCAGATTCAAATTTGTCTAAGTATTGTGAACAGCCAGACCCAGGCCAAGGCGTCTCCACTGCCCTTCCGCCAAAGGGGAGTGGCGGGGGTTTTGTTAGAAGTACAAATTGCTTCCTAATGCAGAGGATAAAGCTAGGCTTGGGTACCTCCTTAGAAATTCCTCCCATTCCCAGGAAAGCTACCGCTGCATGTCAATTTTAATTTCTGAAATTTAAACCAAGGGCTTTGTGTCTAAGCTCCATCTCATCGGAGGAAGGGGAGGAATAAGTCAAAAAGGATTAGGGGCCCGCTGGGAATTGCTGATCCATAGCAATTAGACTTCATTTGGGTCTCAGACATTTGGTTTTAATCGCATTTCTGGATGATACAATCAACAAGGCATCAGAAATTGATACGAATGCAACTGTAGCCAGGGTGATTCTGCCTTGGTTCCTGGGCTCAGGTGGACTCAGCTCAGTTTGGATTTCACAATCAGTAGGGCAGAGTAGGGTGGGGAATTGGGGTTCTGTTGAACTCGGGGGTAGTAGTGTGCAAGTGTGTGCATGTGCATGTGTATGTGTGTGTGTGTGTGTGAATGCAGCTTTACACAGATATACATTCCAAGGTTATCTCTGTGCACTCGCTCACGCATATTTCTTTTCAAACACCTAGTCAAAATAAGCTCAGTACTGTGCAAGTTGCTAACAGGCTTGTGCGTGTGTGTGTGTGTGTGGTACTGCAGGTTGAATCCAGGCCTTCCCACTGAGGTATATCCTGAGTCTATTTTTATTTTTATTTTTATTTCAAGACAGTGTCTAGTGGTGGTGGTGCATGCCTGTATGTAATCCTAGCACTTTGGAAAGCTGAGGCAGGATGGTAAATTGGAGCCCAGCTTGAATGACTTAATTAGTGGCTACTTTGCAGATAATTTACTGCTTGTTAAAACTCAATGTTTTACCAACAAAAACAGAAAAGAAAAAAGGAAAAATATTGAAGCTGTGTGAGGTCTCCCAACTGGCATGTGTAGGATGCTGAAGGGAAGGGGCAAAACAAACAGGAACCCCACACCACCATGCAATGAGAAGGAGGACCCTGGCACTGTCCCTCCCTGGGGGACGGTGTTTGTCACACCACAAAGTTCTGGGTGAATTCAGGGACCTGGCTCATCCATAGAATTGCCTCAGTTTACCAATTCTTTCAAGAGCCATGGACCTAGCTGGAATGCAAGTACACGGGCCTGTGCTGAAGACGTGATACTTGGGAGTGGAGGGTCTGCTGGGGGCTTTGCATGTCCCTCTCAGAGTCTAAGAGCTCTCAGGTCCCCAGTGACAAGTGCTTCTCCTGCCCTCTGTTTTTTTTGTTTTTTTTTTTTTTTGGTACCGGGGATGGAACTCAGGACCTTGAACTCGGGACCTTGCGCTTTCCAGGCAGGCGTCTGAACCACTGAGCTAAATCCCCAGCCCCCTGCCCTCTGTTATGCAGAGGCCCCCTCTTCCCTACCTTTCCCAGAGGCCCCTCCCCTGTACCCTCCTCCCCAACTCCGGGAAGACAAAGTTGCCAAACTGCCAGAGACTGCAGACCTAACACTTCTGTCCTGACCTCCCCCTCCCAGCCCCTCCAGTTCAGGGCTGCAGTTCAGCAGTGGACCTTGGAGAAAGGGTGATATGCACACTCCCTCTCCCCCCACATTTTTTTACCCATCCCAGGTAGTGGGAACATGGCAATGGCCGGAGATCAGGGAATGGATGGAGCTACTAGGGCCCAGTTCTGGTTTTAATGCCATGGTGGATGCCTGAAGTTTCAGGTTAGGGGCCATGCTGATAAAGACGAAGGAGCCCATAGTCTAAAAACATAATTTAATGCATTGCTGTGAGTCTGAGTCAGGAGGGAGTGCAGTGTGGAAAGATGAATTTTCCCTTTGCTGGAATTCTGCTGTGGGTGGGATTCTTGGCTGATGGACAGGAAAATCTGCACAAATATTTAGGGTCACAAACAAGGGTGCCCCAGGGAGCTGGAGCCTGGTCCCCTTGGCCTGGGATACTGGGGGGGGGGGGGAGCAGGAGGAGGAGAGGAGGAGGAGGGGACCTGGAAGAGAGTAGGCGCCTGCAGAGCCTGTCCAGTCCAATCAGGTTTGCAAAGTCTGCCCACTAGGGCTGCCCAGAGGGCTGGGGTTCACGCTCAGCTCGCCACGTGGGCATACCCGCTCCCTCCCCAGGCCTGGCACAGGGACAAGGCAGCTTGGTTAGATGCAAACACATTGAGGCCTGGGCGGGGCATGGGGAACAGCAGGAATGTGTCTTTTCCAACGGAGATGTCAGGGAGTGTCATGAAGCAAAGAGTGGCCTCGCCAAAGAGCCCTGCCCCAGAGGGAAAGGAGCAGCCTGAAGCCACCCCACCTTGCGTCCTCTGCGCCCCTAATCCGGGTACAGAAGAAAGCCCGAGAACGTGCTGTACTTGTTGTTATTGCCTCCGTGCGCCTTCCCGCCATCCAGCTTCACGTACACCTCGTCCCCGGAATCTAGGTGCAGCACCACGCTATTACTCGCGTAGTCGTAGTTCTGGTCGGCGTCCTGTGCGATGGCGCTGGCCCGTACCTGGGGACAGACCGTGGGAGCGGGTGAGCCCAGTCGCCTTTTCTCGAGCCCTTGCTGGGCCCTTCCTGGCGCGCCCCCTGGCCGGCCTTCTCCCAGCGACTTCAAAGGGTGACACTCCCACCCAGCTCCGTGTCCTCTCAAACTTGGCTAAGTCCTTCCTGGCAGTCTCCCCTCCGCACCGGGCGAGTCCCGGAAGGAAGGAGAGAGGGGGATTCGTGGACACTGGCCCAGTATGGAAGAATGTGAACCAGGGATGCAGGGTGGAGAGGAAAGGAGGCTGGGGGTTAAAGGGAGACAGATATGCAATCGGAGACCTAAAGAAAAACGGTTTCCGAGGAGCCCATCGGGCCGCGGCGAAGACGCTGGCAGCCTCGGAGCACAGTTTGGGGAGCAGGGTCTCTGGCGCTCGTGGCCCAAGCTCCCGCGCTAGGCTCGGGTAGGGGCGGCCGGGGAGCGCAGAGAAGCGGGATGCTTTGGCACGGTGGCGAAAGTCTCTGGGCTTTGCTCAGGTGCCCGCTGGTGGGGAGAAAAGGGGCTGATGGGGGGGGGGGCTTGACTGGCCGGGAGAGGGTCCGCGGGGCCCGGCAGGGGTGGGACAGGGGGCCACTGACCTGCCCATTCTTGCAGAGGTCTGCCCACATGCTGGTGCCGTCGCCGCCGCGCATGAGGATGTGGTAGGTGAAGAAGTAGATGCCGCGCACCTGGCAGCTGAACTTGCCCGTGGTGGGATCGTAATGATTGCCGAGATTGGTGACCACGTCGTCGAACTTGAGCACCTCGTAGCCTTCGTGAGGGCTCTTCAGTCCCACGTAGAAGGCTATCTTGGGGCCGCTGAAGGCGGCGCTCAGCGCGCTGGTCACTTCGCCCTCCGAGTCGCCACCGGCCCCGGTTCCGCCGCCCATCACTCCGACTCCGGCCGCGCCCGTTGTCAGCTGCAGCCCAGGCAGCCCCGGCCGTCCCGAGTCGCCCTTTTCCCCCGGGGGGCCCCTGGGTCCAGGTGGCCCCGGCTCTCCAGGGGGCCCCCGAGGCCCTGGTTTGCCAGGTCGCCCCTGGTCGCCCTTGGGTCCCTGGATGAAGGGAGGCGGAGGGTTGGCGCTGAGGTCCTGCATGACTTCCAAGGCTGCGGTGCTGGGTCCCGGCGGCGGGGCCTTGGCGCCCGCGGGGCCCGCGCCGGGTGCGGCGTTGTACGGGTCGCAGATCATGCGGCAGGTGCCCATCATCTCGTAGTGCGCCGCGCCTGGAGGCGCCGCCTGCAGCAGCAGCGGCAGGGCGATGAGCAGCCCGAGCGCCATGGCCAGGAGCACGCCGACGGCCGCCAAGCAGGCGCGCCGCCGCCGCTGCCACAGCCGGGAGGCGACCGCCACCAGCTCCTCCTTGCCTCCTGGGGAGGTAATGGTGGGGCGGCGCGGGTGGCCCCGCTCCCCGCGCTCGGGGGCCAACTCCGCGGGTCCCGGCCGAAGCCCCGACGTGGCGACCCCCTGCCCCGGCCACCCAACTACTTCAGCGAGACGCGCCCCGGCCTGGGCTCCGGTGCCCACCTCGCTGGGGCTTCTCCGGAAAGCTGCGGACCTCGGCCAGCATGGCGAGGGGCGCACAGGACGAGCCCGGTGCCCCACGGGTCCGGGCGGCGGTGGCCAGGAGCACCGGGTAGGCGTGGGGCGCCCGGCGCCGCGGCTCTGCCTCCTCCTGGCTCGGCTCGCAGGGCTCCGCGCACCGTGAGGCGCCCGGCTCTGCGGAGCGCTCTGCTCAGCTCTCCCGCCGCTCGCTGGCTCCCGCGCGGAGGGGGGACCCAGCTACCCTGACGTAAGGAGTCCGGGGCTGAGCGGCGGAGGCGGCGAGGCAGTGCTCGCTGCCATCACTCGGGAGACGGCGCCCTCATGTCATCAGCCTCCTGTCCTCCTATCCCGCTGCGTCCTCGGGAGAGGCGGCAAAGGCGATGTTCCTCCTGACGACTCCAGGGAGCCACAAGCGGGCGCAGCGGGCGCAGCCCCAGCCCGGGCGCCACAGACACACCCACCGGCGGCCACACTCACGCGCCTCCCAGCGCCCCCGCAAGCACGGGCACCCACGCGCGCAGTGGCCCCGCGCGCACAAGCACCCCACAAGGCCACGAAGGTACTCAGAATCCGGTGCCAGCAACGTCCCCTGATGGGTTTCACCTAATCTATCCGGCTTCCTAAACAGGACCAGACCTGAACACACCAAGTCCCGCAGTCTCCAGGAGGGAAGGACCTTGTGAAGTGCTCCCGGAGTTACTTCAAACTGAGTAACTCTACTTCCTGGACGGTCTTTCATAGACTGAGGTTTCAAACTGTTGCGTAGGCCTCCGCAGAACACCCCCACCAACTCTTGGGAGGACTCTGAAAAGCCCAAAGCCTCACTACAAAAATCGATTCGCCTCAGACCTTCGCTTTCACTGAAACGAAGGCTGGTGCTTCTGCTCTGTATAAAGCTCATTTCCAAATGCAAATGTTTGACACCAGCACTTGGAGTTAATCTTGGTGTCCTCAGCTCCCAAGCAGACGCCTGGACACATTCCCTTGGATATTTTCTCCTAGAGTGGATTTAGTTATTTTATAAAATAGTCCTAAGCCATTCTGAGCCCAAGCCGGGAATAAACTTGCTCCCAAGGAGAGCAGAATTGTGTATCTCCGTTTCAGCAGAGGAGGATGAAGGCACGAAAGGAGACTTCTGGGTCTTGAGAAGATTTCTGGTCAAAAATGAAAATCTCTTGAGCTGGGGATGCAGCTCAGTAGTGGAGTTGCTTGCCTAACATGCTCCAGGGTAGGAGAGAGAAAGGAAGGAGAAAGAAGGAAAGAGAAAGGAAGGGGAAAAAACAGGCAGCCCCTGCTCCTGGTTCCCACCTTGCCCTGAGTAGCTGTGTGACTCTGACAAGCTGTTCCCTTCTCTTGGACTCGTTTTCCCTAAAGGGCCAGCTCCTGCTCCAGCACCCTCCAGAGCTGTTCTCAGGGTCTGGAGAAGTACGACATCTCTAGACCAACCAAGCAGAGCCCTGGAGCTCTGCCTTTGTAAAGAGCATTCCTTTATCAGGCATTGTGCTCTTGCAAGTTAGTTAATCCATTTTTGTCACTCTGGATCATTTCCTCACTCCACCAGGAGTAGCTCCTCTTCTTTCATTTCCCAGGGCAGAGTAGAAGATCTGGAAAGAATGACGAGGCCTAGCCTAAAGCCAACTTCACCAAAGATGGAGGAAGAAACCCTTATTTCCTGGGCATCTACTATGCATCAGACACTTTGCATGTGCTTTTTCATTTATTCCAACTGCCCTGTGAATTAGTGATGGTTCACCCATCATACAGAAGAGAAGACAAAGGCTTTGCATGTGTAAGGTGCTTGCCCATTGTCCTCCACCCACATAGCAGAGCTGGAATTATCCACCCAGACCAGGGGCTCTCAGAAGCTGCCACAGCTGGCTCTTCACCACATTCTTCATGGTTTCTTGATCTTGAGGTCTCTCCCCTCTGTGGCCCAGAGCCACATCCCCCAGAAACTACACTGCCTGCTTCCCATCCTGGCTTTGCAACTTCCTCTCTGTGTGACCTTGAGCAAATGGCTTCTGCAGGCCTTAGTCTCCATGTGTGCACAGTGGGGCTGAGAAAAGCACCTTCTGAGAGGAATGAATGAGTTAAGGTATGGAAAGGTAAATAAATGCTTGATGGCGTATTTGCCGGCAGGAGGACAGTCCAGGGACTCTGCAGGATCCACTGGCAGGGATGGTCAGCTGTGCTGGGGAGGGGACAGAGACAGCTTTGGACAAAGAGGGACCCTGGGCTGGGTTAACTATCGGTGAGTAGGAGGCAGACATCCCAGGGTGAAGATGCTGTAGAACAGATGAATAAAGAGGGCTCATTGCTATGGGGGTTGGCAGAGCCCCAGACCAGCCAGTGTATGATTAACTGTCCAACTATATATCCTAAGCCACAGGGCTCTGTGAGGTAGAAGGTGATCAGCACCAAGCAGATTATCCACAGATGTTGGTAGAAGGAATGTTGCCTGGATTACTAAAGGCAGTTTAGGACAGACTTGAGTCTTGACTGGGCCTTGAGATGTAAAACCATCATCCACATGGAAGGCAATATGCTCATAAAGGCCATAATTAACACTGATGACAAGACAGTCACCAAGGACACATCACTTAGGAGGATCTTGGTTTGGGGTGGTAGAAAAGAAGTGGGTGAACTCCAGCTACATTTTGAACACAGAATCCATGGGCCTTGCTGATAGATTTCAGATAAAAGTTAAGGGAGAAGGAAAAAGGGAAAATCAAGGTCAACTCAAGATCTGGCATGAGCAACTGGGTGAATGAACATGAGGAAGGAGTTACTTGGAGAAGATGGAGATGGAATTGTGAGCTCCATTAACTATGAGATGCCAGGAAAATTGCTGAATGAAGACAGCACATGGGCAGTGGACGTGAGTCAGGTCCTCTTCAGTGAGGTGACAACGGAAACATCTGCAGGTGAGTTTTTAAGATACAAATGATATTTGTAGCCTTGGGAATGAGGAGTGGTGGGGAGGAGAGGGAGACAAAGAACTAGCTCATGGTAAACAACCCTCCAGCTCCACCCCAGCCATTTAAAAGATAGGCAGTAGGAGAAAAAAAAGTCTGCAATAGAACCTGAGATGATACAACTATGGGAAGAAATGGAGAGAGGGAAGGAGGGAGGGAGGACAGAGAAGGAAGTGGAATGGCTGTGAAAGAGAACCATTCCAGAAGAAAGAGAGAACCCTTGTCTGGAAAGCTGCCAATAGTTGAGGAAGAGGAGGACCAAAAGGGACCATGGGGTATGGCAAGACAGAACTCACTGGGGTGAGATCACTGTGTGTTCACCAGATCCACCTAACACAGATCCTTAGCAAGATCCTTTTCAGTTAAGTTGTGGGAGAAAAAGCTGAAATGCAGCAAGTTGAAGAGCGAACATGAAAAAAGGAAATGGACACAGGGTGTGTACACAGTTCTGGGGAAGATAGGGTAAGAAAGTCAAAGGCTGCTGTGAGCTCCAGGAGGAGGTGAAAAACAGGACCAGCTTAAGTGTGTGCAAACTTCTTCTTAGGGAAAATGGTACAGCACAGAAGGCAAGTCAACAGAGCTGGAATAATCCAGTGCCTGAAGTTCTTAGTAACTGACTCCTAGCAAGCTCAAAGGAAGTTTGCTATCTTTAGCATCATTAATAAGAGGTAAATTTTATTGAGTACTATGTGCCTGACACTATGCAAAGAGGTTTTTAGACATATTAATTGTTTTAAAACTCACATCACTATGAGGTAAGGTGCCCCTCTTTTGCAAGTGGGGAAACTAAGATAAACCTATGTTTTCACAAATATCACTCTGATATGTAATTTTCTCAGTAGCTCCTCCAGGTCATGCTGAGGTCCTCAGATGTGGAGCTCCCCACAACCACGTTACTCTGACTAAAGCTGACACCCATGAGTTACTCTTACCTTCCAGCCACATTGTCATGAGGACATAGTAAGTGTTCAATAAATATTTTATAATTCTTGATTATTTTGTACAGCTTGAAAATTTCACACATGCAATCTTATGTCATAGTTTGCTCAGGGAGTAGAAATTTTTTTAAGCTGCTCTTAAATCCTTTATTTCTGTGGTGCTGGGGCTTGAGTTTGGGGCCTCATTCATATGAGACAATCACTGTACCACTGAGCTACAGTTTCAGCTCTTAAAAAGATACTTTTTTCAGTGGGAGAGTAAGAAAGGAGGGCAAAGAAAGAGCCCCAATTTTATTGGTTGAGGCTTTGAAAAACTCAGATGTTTTCTCTTCTTTTCCTTTCATCCTTTATGTCTTTCCTTTCTTCTTTATTTATTCATTTACCTGTGCATTCATCCTCTCAATAAAAATTGTTTTGCGCATCTACCATACGCAGAGTGCTGTGCTATGTTCTGCTATGATGTGGAGGGAGACATGAAGAAGACATTCCTGTTTAAAAGCTTCCAGTCTAGTTGGAGGAGCAAGAGAAACCAATAAAAAGCATCTGAGCAGCACTGTGAGACATCGGTTTGGGTGCTGTAGGCAAGGGGCACAGTCAGGGAGACGCTGCTGAAGGCAAGTCCCTGTGGCCACAGCTCTTGAGGAAGCTGTGTCACTATCCATTAATCAGAATCTGAAAGGCCAGGTGGGATTTGAACCTGAGAAGGGTCTGGCTGTCCAAGTGTCACCCGGGGCACAGGGACAGTACAAAGCAGAGGCAGGCTGGGAACTGACGGTTTGTTACATGTCCCACTGCTCCCACCAAGCTATCTCCCAGCCTCCCCTTCCCCCTCGAAGATACTTATTACTCCATCCTCCAGCTCCATTTTCTTTATGCACCACATTGGGACCATTGGGAGACACTATGACAAGCCTTGCTTTGCTCCTCTTCATCTTCCCTGGCCCCTGGTCCTCAAGCTTCACATAGGCTTGTTAAAGGAGTTCTCTCAAAGGAAGACAAGGGGAAATACTATTTTCTACTCCCTACTGGGAAATGGGCTGGGTACTTTGTGGGCTGCTGGTATCACTACTTTACTAGTCCTCACAGGCAGGAACTGGTGCCCCACGGTCAATGGCCAGAGAGTGCGTGAGGTTCCTCTGCTCTTTCTCTTGGTTGGGCCACTGTGACCTATTTCTAGCTCCAGCTCCAGAGAGGCTCACAATAAAAATGGTGGGAGAAGAATGCTCTAGTCTCACCTCTGAAGATGCTCAGGCAGCCCTGTTCAGTGGCCAATGAGGAGGCACCTGCCAGGCCCATTAGTCAGAAGGAGCAGTAACACATTTGAGTCAAGAGGGTCAGCCAGCCCCAGAAAGCCCTCACTTGGCACTCTCAGAAACTGTGGCTGTAGCCCTAATTATCTCTCCTCTGAGGAGCTGGCCCTGCTGGGTCTTCATAGAGTTGTGAGTCTGCCTCTGTTCCTGAGTCTTATTTCTCCAGGGCCCAAGTCCACCATAACACTCTCAACTGCAAAAGATAGCAGCCTTGGAAACTTGAGGTGCAAATTCCATCTGGGCCTCATCTGCAGAGCTTCCTCAACCCCACACTCTGCTGACCAGAGAACCATTTGATCTGCACTGCCCACCTTGGCTTTTCTCAGGCTCCTAGCAGGTGGCTGGTGCACTTTAACTCCTCATTCAGGCAGCCCTGAGTTATTGAGTGCTTACCATGTGCATGACATGGGGACCCAGCTAAACCGCAGAAACAGGCTGTCCTTTGATCACTGAGAAGCCTGTGCAGGTGGCCTGTCTGACCTCCTCTCATGCATGCCTAGTAATAGCAGCCAACATAGACCTTGCCTCTGCAAACCACATGTGCTCCTGGCCTGGGTGACACATGTGACAGGTGGTGATCCTCAGATGGCCCTTGCAACATCCTGTCTTCCAGAGTGCCTTT